CTCTCTGGATGTGGAAGGGCTGGGCTGGCTGTCAGGGAACAAGGACAGAAGAGGACTGGGATGGAGAGCTGGGGCATGAGGCTGGATGCGGCAACACTGCTGCGTGTACTGTTTTGGGTTATTCTGGGGAAGGTCCAGACGAAGGTTGTGGGACTCTGTGACGGTTTACACGCACAGGACGTCTGTCATAAATGGAGTCCACAAGGACTGGATTTATATTCAGGAAGATGTTTTGGACTCTATGGGGACTCTCCAGGAGGGAAACTGGGGCAGGCAGCTATCTTGTGTCATGCCCGCCAAAAGGAGGCACCTCTGGCAGTGCTGTGCTATGTCACGCTCCCACCGATACCAATGGGAGTTTCTCGTACTCTACTGTGGGAGAATCATTCCCCTGATTGAGGATCCCTGGCTGTCCCTCCCTCCCTTTGCTGGCTGATAAAATAGCATATGAAAGTCAACGTGGCTGAAGTCACATCTGGGTGGAATCTGCTGTGTTCTTACAGGAGGAAGAGTCACAGAGACATCTCTGTGCCTCCTTCCTCACCTCTCTCTCACCTATTTTCTCCTTCTACCTTTTCCTACTGGTCAGCATCAGAGAATGATCTCATTGTGATAGGCAACTATGCTGCTTTATCGCAAACCCAGACTGTCAAAGTGGGAACACACCCTAATGTGGTGATTACTCAAGAACAAGGGAAAGGGGAAACACTGCAGGAATGGAAAGGGAGATAGGTTCTTGTTTGTATCTGTCCTCACTGAACAGAAAGGCCTAAGGGGAGAGTGCTCAGCCTGGGTATCCATCATTCCATGGAACTGCCCTCTCATTGATGAAATTGATCCATCTTCAGGCATCCCCGTGGAAATAATCAGAGCTGATGGCAATTGATCATGCCCAAAATCCCAGTTAGGCAGACAGAGCTAATTTGACTTGCCTCCCCGCTGTTCATACGTATTAGGCCATCCATCCTCATAGCATTAACCTAGTTCCCATTGCTGCCACCCCAGCTCCGAGAGGCATGTGCGTGAAGCCTATTCTGGACAGAGCATCTGTGCTTCCCGTACAAAGCATCTCAGTTCCCTTTCCCTCCTCACTGCCTGAGCCATAAATAAATAATGAAATACTAAAAAATGAGAGTTGGGGCAATTTTGTGTGTGCGGGCGCATGCACGTGTGTGCCAAATGAATGAAAATCTATCCACCTATGTGCAATAGGGAAATGGTGGCTATAAAAGAGGAGTTAAAGTAAGTGACTGGGAGTTGGAACTTCTTGGCTCTGTCCCTGGTGCTTGATAGAAGGATGTGCTAGTGACTAAGGCTCACTCTACACTACAGCCAGGATTCATGCGCTAAGATCGATCCATTGGCAGTCGATTTAGTGGGTCTAGTTAAGACCCACCAATTCGACTGAAGATCTCTCTCCCATTGATCCTGTTACTCTACCCTGGATGAGAAGAGTAAGAGAAGTTGATGGGACAGTTTCTGTCATTGACTCTCCGCAATGTAGAGCCCGCAGTAACTTGACTTAAGATACGTTGACTGTAGCAATGTTATTCAAGTAGCCAGAGTTGCATTGCTTAAGTTGACTTCCTGTGGTAGTGTAGTCTGTGTTTTTTGAAGGTGACTCATGATTGGTGCCTAACTTAATACACTGTACAGGGGCTTGATCGGAGAGTCACTGCTCATAGCATTCTACCCATGTTCTTAAAGTGCTTTGCTGAATCACAGCCTGATGGAACAGGGACTTCCTTGCCTGATGTAATGAAATAAATTGGTGCACCACCAAGCTGGTGTGCTGCAGGAGGGCACCTGCTAGAGGTGGCTATGAAGGAGAATTGTCCAGTGACTTTAAACAAGTGATGTCCTAATTCGGCCAACATTTCACCACACGCTATTCTTTGAGTGTGTGAAGAGTCCCATTAAAGTTTTTGGGCTGGAAACCTAAATTAGGCCTGATCTACACTGTGATCTAAGATACACAACTTCAGCTACATAAAGAGCATAGCTGAAGTCATAGACCTGCTTACCGTGGTGTCTTTTATGCAGCAAGGTCAGCAGGGGCTGCTCTCCCATCGACTCCACCTACTCTTCTTGTTGTGGTGTAGTACCGGAGTCCATTGGAGAGAACTTGGAGATCGATTTACCACATCTAACCAGACGTGATAAATCAACCGCCGGTGGATCGATCGCTTCAGCATCAATTCACTGAGTAGTGAACAAGCCGTTAACCACATTCTTTTCCCATAGCTCTCTGTTGGCGTGTTTGAGAGTATTTTGAAAGTTGGAACGTAACCTGGCATCTTGCACAGAACTAAGGCCAAATTCATCCCTGTCATGACCCCAGTGAAAACTCCACCTAGCACGCCAGAGACCGGACAGCCCAAAATCCCATGGAAAATTCCAAACACAAATTTCTATTTCTACCTATTTGTCCATGCAACTCACTTAGATATGTCTAATGAGTCTATTATTAGAAATTATTTCTTAATGAGTTTGCTTTGGTTATGTTCATGGTCCTTTTGTATTTGGTTTCTGTGAATTTTCATGCAGCTGAGTGTTTACTGTCACTTTGCATCGTGTGTTCCTGGAGGACTTCGTTGTGATTTCTGCTCTTTCCTTCACCCTGGTTCTAGCATGCGTTGCTTCCTTTTTGTAAGAATTCTCCCTCCAACAATATTTATGAACAGCTGTGCATCGATATAAAAATATAACTAATGCTCAAAAACAGCCAGTAATAAATAAAAAATACAGACGTTGGAGAGGCAGAGAAGAGCAAAGTGATTAAAATGTCCAAGAAAAAAGGGGTATGGGACATAACAGGACAACCTAGTTTCTGTCTGCTGAAAAAGGGCAAAGCAGTAGTACCTTCCCCTGGCTGATACATCTTCCAACACCATAACACCGAGTTGCAAGAGGAAATCATATCCATCAAGAACACATGGCGCTGCTCTTTTATTTAGTCCAAGCTGGTCAGCAGTAACCCAAAAGTCAGCAGCCTCGTGAAATCAAAATGTCTATTTCTTCCTTTTCTTTTATTCTTTTCTTTCCTTTCTTTTCATGGAAATCAGCCTGTCATTCAGCACGCACCAACTGCCCTTGGTAACAACCTCCGCCTAATGAAGCGGGTCATTTAATTTGCTGGCAACAATGGAGACGATTTTCTATTCAAAAACTGCAGGCAGCTGCCTCCAACACGCTGGGCGCAAATACAATGGATTCCAAAGCTGGAAGCTGCTATTTCATTTGTCTCCTTCCTGGGTCCTTTGGTCCAGAGATGTGATAGCGATATCATCATTTCCATAGTGTGAAGGCTGGGAGAAGAACTACTAAACATGCAGCTTTAAGCCAGGGGACTTCATGCTTATAGGGCAACTCATATGTTGACTGTGGAGTCCACCATGCTCAGAAATCACCCACTACAGACTATCTGCCATTAGACACCCTTGAAAACTGTTTCTCTTTTGGGAACTGAATCCTGCCCTCACACAGCAGTGCCACTGAGCCAACCTCAAAGCATATTTTTAAGGAATGTACAGAGTACGTGTCCTGGAGCCAGATATGGGGCATCTAGCACTGGAAGCACATTTGAACTATTTAAAAGGCAAGACAAGGGAATATGCAGAGATCTACACAAGTCTGAGTTTCAGCAAAACAGGTCTGTTTGGGCCAAGGACACAATGGCTACGTCTACATTGGCCCCTTCTCCGGAAGAGGCATGTTAATTTCAAACTTCAGAATAGGGAAATCCGTGGGGGATTTATTCCTACTTTGAAGTAGGAATAAGAGATCCTCCGGAATAGGGCTTTATTCCGGAGGATCGGGCCAGTCTAGACGCTTTTTTCCGGCTTTTCCCCAAGTCGGAAAAAAATGTTTATTTAAATCCCCCGCGGATTTCCCTATTCTGAAGTTTGAAATTAACATGCCTCTTCCGGAGAAGGGGCCAATGTAGACGTAGCCAATGTTTTCAGACGTGCAATAAGTCTGTAATAGTGGTGCGTAGATACTGGAAATTAAGTCTGGTGAATAGTCGTGATTATTTCTTAATGAGTTTGCTTTGGTCATGTTCATGGTCCTTTTGTATTTGGTTTCTGTGAATTTTCATGCAGCTGAGTTTTACTTGTAGTAATTCACAAATGTGAATTTTAAGTTTGAAAAGTAATTGATAGCACATTTCAAATTCACGCCAAAAGCTTGATTAGAAGAGTTAAACTCAGGCAATGAGGGAGAAGAAAGAATAACTTATGTGAACTAGTCAGAGTCCTATCTCATTCTGATTCTGAGTGATTTCTCCAAACTGCTCTTGTTAGCCCAGCAGAAATCTATTAGCTTCAGAAGACATGCTTTGGTCAAGATGGAGAAGTACATGCGGACCCTACTTTGGATTAATGATGGCTGGTGCATAATCTGTTCTGTTTTAGGCCCTCTGCCTTCTGGCACATTGAAAATGGAGGACTTAGACCGGGCAAAGGTCATGCACCCCAGTTTGATGTTAAACCATCATACTAGATGACTCTTACCTTCCACCAGTGACGTTAGCAAAGTGACATTGGCAGCTTTACGCCTTCCTGCAGGTAGATTTAAGCCTATTTTCTCTAATCTTTCCCTTAAACACCTTCCACCATTTTTTGATTTTGCCCTGCAAGTGGGAAACAAGGAGGGAAAAGCTTTTAGCTGAAAGAAAAGAAAAAGCAACACACAAATGGCTGTTCCCCAGCCCACTAACAGAGTAGTTGTTTGATCTGGCATAAAATATACAATGAGCCCCACACAAATCTCAACTGTAAGAACTACTGATAACAGAATATAAAGTTTGTTAGAATCAATTTCTGTATTCCAACTGACATAGTAGTCCTGGATTCTTTTATAGCCATTAAGGGTATGTTTACACTACAGGTAGGTAAAGTCGAATTAAGATACATAAATTCAGTTTCGTTAATAGTGTAGCTGAAGTCAAAGTACCTTAACTCGATTATTTGGTGCTGTCTACACTGCAGGAAGTCAAAGGGAGAACATTCTTCCTTTGACTTCCCTTACTCCTCATGGAAGCAGGACTACCGGCATCAGCTGGAGTGCCCCTCTTCACTAGACCCGCTAATTCGAACCCTGGAAGATTGACAGCAACTGCTTCAATCTTCTCTGTAGAGTAGACATACCCTAAGAGACCTGCTATTCCATGAATGAAACAGATATGAGAATAAAAGAACCTTCATCCAGTCACTAGTTTTACTGTTTCAAATTCTCAACAGCAGTCCATAGCGATGCCTTTGTTCCAACAGCAGCTCATCTAAGTTTGTGCAGGTGTAACTGCCACCTTGTAGATTCGAACCTGGAATCTCTGGAGTTTCGTATAGGAGCTTCTAGCACTTGAGCTAAAAGCCCACTGCGTCTCAGCTTATGTTGTAGAGCTCCCTTATCTCTCACTGTAAGTGGTCTACGTGCCACTACACGGGACAGTGAACCACACTAGGGCTATGTCTAAACTACGATCCTCTTGCGGAAGAGCAAATGCAAATGGAGCGATCATTTGGATATGCTGTGCTCTCATTTGCATTTCCTCTTCCTTTCCTTTTTGCACAAGAGGTTTTTGCACAAAAAGCACTGTGTAAACGGCACCTTTTTGCGCAAAAAAAACCCTTTTGCGCAAGAGCTGTTCTTCCTCAAAAAAGGGGGGTTTTGCGCAAAAAGGCACTGTCTACACAGCGCTTCTTTGCACAAAAACCTCTTGCGCAAAAGGGAAAGGAAGAGGAAATGCAAATGAGCTCTCCATTTGCATTTACTCTTATGCAAGAGGATCATAGTTTAGACGTAGCCTAGGTATGTAGGTTACACAGACATCTCACAGATTCAGTAACAAAGAAACATTTGGTCTGCAAGCTTAGCAATGCTATGTATTGCCAAAATGCCCCTATGCCCAGGGGTGCACAGAAACTTGCTAGGCATTAATGTTGTTCTTAGGGAGTGCCACCTCCCAAAGATTGGTCTTACTGGAATGATTGACCACAGTAACAGCCAACCAGTTAGCTTCCCCTGCAGACATCATGGCAAGTTTGGGCAGCATCTCTGCAAAAGGCAATAAATAAATTGCCCAACCCCCAAAGAAGCTGCAAAACAGGGGCCTGTTACTAGAAAAATTTAACCCGACACCTCTGAAGCCTTTGCTATTCTGAGATAAAACAAGCCCTGGATTGGATCTTTTCTCTACCCATGACAAGATATAGGAATAAGTTCTTGATAGAGCTGAACAAAGCACTCAGAGTGGATCCCAGAACTTGGGCACTAGCTGCAAAATTCATGCTTGGATTCAGATATTGAACATCCCGGACATTTGGCAGGGTGTTTGGGACCAGGGCTTTGGCATGGCCTGCTATAGACCTAGGGGACAGTTGCACAATTTGGATCAGGTTGTGAACTTTCTCAGATTCAGATCTAGGGGTTTGAAATTGGAACCAAACCTGTACATCACACCTGATCAGAAGGACCCGCAGGTGCCCTCTGACATCGGTGGGACAGTCTCAGAGGCATTCCCGAGAGTGTAAACTCTTTGGTACGGGAACTATCTTTTTGTTCTGTGTTTGTATAACCAGGGCTGGCCCGTGGTATTCTGGTGTCCCAGGCACGGGTGCACGGCGCCGCCCCCGAGCGCACGGGGCAAGCACGAGCCTGCCCATGGGGAGCGGGCCCATCTCCCTAGCGCGCGCTGCGCTGCCCAGCCTGACTTGGCTGTTGCTGCTGGCGCACGCGCCAGGCCATGTAGGGCCCCGTGGCTGTGGGGGGAAGGGCGTTGCTGGCCGGCGCCGCGGGGATGCGGGTGGGCTGGTGCTGCGGGAGCCGGGCGCGTGGCGCCTGATGGCAGCTGTAAGGGACACCGCGCACCCCTTACAGCTGCCATCAGGCGCCCCCCCAGCAGCTGGCAACTGCCCGGCACGCCCACCCCTCAATCTGGCCCTGTGTGTAACCCACACACCTTCTGGGTGTGGTTCACTGGCCCATCCAGTGGCACCAAAATCACTACAGAGAGAATAAAGAGTCTGCTCTACAGCCTTTCCCACCAGCCAGTTGACTTTTAGCTCATGCGCGAAAGGCTCATGCACTAATCTCCAGGGGTCCCAGATTTGATTCCGGCTGCATGACTTGGCCTGCAAGACCAACGATTTATAATGACCAGCAAGGGCTCATCACTGGAAATAGCTTATGCACTCTGAGCTGAAGGAAGCGGAGGAGAGATGAAATCAGAGGACGATAACCCCGGTGTGGTGCTTACCTCCTGAGGACTCCCCCAAGAAGAGAAGCATTGAGACACTCTGGTGGGGAAAGCCTCCTCTGCACTTCCCCGACGGTCACTTTGTACTTAGAGGTGGAGCTCAGAAGGGAGAGCCGGCCAGGCACGGAGCAGAAGACCTCGTTGGGATTTGTCACCCCTCCGATCAGACTGTCTTTGTTCATCGACAAGGCAGAGATGGTGGTGCCGTTTGCCTTTGAGGGGAGGGGCACTGGAAGGAAAAGCAGCAAAAGAGAAAAAAAGTCACTGGAAAGGATCTAAAGCAGGGGAAACCCAGACTTGGTGAGACTCAGGGCTACTCTGCCAGCCTGCCAGGAAGCCAATGAACAGGCATTTCCATTGTCAGGAAACATACCGTGACCATGGTGTTTTCCTTGGTCTTTGTATGTTTCCTAATGGAGAAGGAGAAGCTGCCTGAGGGGTGGGTTTGAAGGCCAGGCAAAACGCAGAACTCTAACTCATCCCTCCACAATTTGGGGTGCTGCGACCTGGGGTTCTCATTTGGCCTCTGGGACAGGATCGGGTATTTTGATCTAGATCCAGAGCCCAAACCCTGTCTGCCTGAGGAGAGCTCAGGGACACAGGGTTTGGTTGGGCCTGTCACAGATCTGGATCCCGTTTTGAGATTCTCAGTACTCCTGGCTTTTGGCGGGATTTTGGATTTGCATTGGGGCCCATGTTCACACAGCACCATTCGGGAGGCATGACAGACCTGGACTCTCACCCTAGCACCTCTGTGATCTGAAACTCTTAGGGCAGCGAAGGGCTGTGTTTGTGGCTATGGGAAGGCTCACACTCAACTTCTTCAGGCTTTGAATCAGACCCACAAGCAATAAGCTGAAGCCCCACACTTTGGTCACCTCAGTCTAAAGTAACCTGAAAAGATCCATTCCCCAAACAATGCAGAACAAACTGCCTTGCACTTACTGGGGGAAAAGCCAATTAAAAGCAGAAAGGCAGATGGATGGTGGTGAATAACAGGCACCATGCAGGGTCCGTGGCCTTACACCCACAATGAAATTGACCTATTTTCCCCAGGCGTCACTTCAGTAAGAAACCTTTTTAGACACAATAAAGGTTTCTTGGTTAGAGTCCTGGCAGAGATTTGTGCCAAGTGACTCTGGGTTTTATATTTTGAAATTAATACCCAATTTAGCTGAACAAAAGTAAATCCACGGTTTCCAAAGACTCCATCGCTCACTGCAAATACAGTCACTCCAGATCATTTAAACCCTGGCATGCTTTGTGGTTACTGAGTCATGGTCACTACATGATGTGCATTCAAACAGTACACATGCCTAATACTTAGAGCAACAAATAGCAGGGCGAGATCCAGGTTTTATAAAGGAAATACACATGCCCAGAATGAAACAGCAAACCCGAAATTTAATCGGAAAGGGCAAGTATACTGAGCCTATTAAAGGGGTCTTACAATCAGCATATTGTAAATACAGCTCAACAACTTGTTAGCATGGCAATAAAAAAGCAGCACATGTTACATAAAAATGGCTCAGGTTTTAGGGCTGAAAGATTAATGGAAATAAGCTAAGGTATATTAAGTTCCCGCTCAGCGTGAAACTTGGACAGCGTTGGGGGATTGAAGGACAGGTTGCCTGGGTTTCCCTTTATAACTGACTCGAAAAGGGTAAAGATCTGACATTAAGACACTTGGGTCTGTGGCTTATTAAGAGGTTCTAAGGGGAAGAACAGAGGCTAAAAGATTCAAGAACATCACCGTATGGGCTAGGAAAGCAGAGCTGCTTCCAGACAGCAGCGACGTCAGGGCTTTCTTTCACATTCCCAGGATGGTTAATATTTATCCCTTGGCACATTCCTAAAATAAAAAGCCAGAGCATGTTTTAAAAATGTCCACGTATCACCACAAAGATGTGTCTCGCTGCAGTTCCATGCATTGCTATGGTTTTGGACTTCATCATGCATCCATGCAGTCCCATGCATCCCTGGAAAGCTGTGCATGTCTTGTGTTTTCGTGTGTTTTGTGCATCACTGGGTAGCTGCATGTCTCCATGCATTCGTGGGTCAGTGAAGAACTGTTCATTACAAGTAGGTTCACACTTCATCATGCATGTGGATTCATGCATCCATACACCACTGGGCACCTACACATTGGTGTGTCTGATTACATATCCATGCAACATGGTGGAACCATGCAACCCCGCTCATCCACACATCACAACATATGTTCTCCCCTGGGTCCTGGATGAGAGAGTGAATCCAGTTGGACTTGATGTGGTTTAATGCTGGAAGTTATTCAAAAGCTCACCTTGGAGAGCAAAAAAGGAAAAATGCAGAGGTGTGTGTGGGAGGCCATCCATGCCATGACAGAGTCTGGGCAGTGAGGCCAAGCACGGTGCATGGCAGCACAGTGATGGGTGTATGAATAGGGACACACATATGAAAAGGGACACACATCAGGCACAGACATATGGTGGGGCACAGCTGTCTGGTGGCCCCCACAGCCACTACGACCATTTTAAAACATGTGCTGACTTTTTTTAGGAATACGCACACTGCAGAAAAGTAATCCACCTCGAGAGGCTTCAGCTAGTCCCTGCCACTCCCAGAACCGCAGCTCATAACCAATTAGGCATTCTCCATTACAATGACTTTCTGAATTCTATAGGCACCGTGACAAGGAGAACCCATAGCGGACAATTTTAATAAGGATCTGTATTTCAGTTGTGCCTATAATCTCTAACTGAGACCAGGGCCCCATTGTGCAAGGTGCTGAACATACACAGAAGGAGAGAGAGTCCTGTCCCAAAGAGTTTGCAATGTAAATAGATAAGACAGACAAAGGTAGAAGGGAAAACAGAGGCACAGAGCGGGGAAGTGACTTGTCCAAGGTTGCAGAGCAGACCACTGATAGCGCTCCCAATCTCCTGCCTCCAAAATCACTACCCTATCCACTAGGCCAGCCTTCCTCAATCCAGTCAGACATAAAAACAGGAACTATTTTCTGTTTGGCATCTCCTTCTGTTTGTCTGGTCCGATCTGCAGTGTTTTTACCAATCAACCTGCTGCAGGTGAGACACAAAGCTACCTCCAGAGACTGTGAGTTTGGTTTCCTGGGCTTTTTCAGAACCGACATCGACTCTTGTCACAAGCAAACCAAAATGTTCCCTGGATCTGCTCAACTGTTGCTTGGCTTTCGAAAAAGTGGACGCGCTCTTTTTCCATAAATCTTGTTCTACAATGCATAAGGGGTGTGTCGAAAGAGCACTTTTTTCCAAAATTTGGCACCATGTAGATGCGCCAAATTTCAGAAAAGGCTCTTTCGAAAGTAAATCGGAAAAAGATACTTTTTCCAATTTAACTTTGCCATCTAGACATAGCCGAAGATGCAGGTGATCAGAACACCTGAGCCCGCCTGCCGACAAGAGGGAAACCCGAGACTACTGGAGGTTTGCCCAATACTCAGCATGCAACATGAAGCTCTGTCTGTGCTATCGCTGGGCGCGCTTTGTTTCCAATGCAGTTTGAAAGAGCAGAGTCTCACTTTCTGAACCGTGTCAATGCTGCCAGATGACTGACCCTCCGGGAAGTTCTGACTTCTAACCAAATAACATTTCGACCTGCACCCCAGGGTAGCAGGAGGAACCACTGTAGCAAGATTTAAAGTTACATGACGGTGACGAGGCTTTCATGGCCAGTGGATGGTTCTCACCAGGAAGCGTTTTGTTACTCCATGTGCAAACTGAAAGCAGAGCCAGAACTGGGTTGCACAGTGTGTATACAAGTCTGGATTGGAACATTCTCAATGTTCACAGGGGTTTGCCTCCCGCATGAAGGCTGGGATATAAAAATCAAGCAGTCTGCATTGTACCAAGTTTTCTCCTTGACGTCTCGTTGGTTTACACCATCTGAGATGTCCTGTCTCAGGTGCGATCCATGTTTGAACAGTGGGAATATTGCCTTCTCATCAGTCGATTTTGTGTTGATGAGAAATAGGTGTGTTCTGTTTGGCATCTCCTTCTGTTTGTCTGGTCCGATCTGCAGTGTTTTTACCAATCAACCTGCTGCAGGTGAGACACAAAGCTACCTCCAGAGACTGAGAGTTTGGTTTCCTGGGCTTTTTCAGAACCGACATCGACTCTTGTCACAAGCAAACCAAAATGTTCCCTGGATCTGCTCAACTGTTGCTTGGCTTTCGAAAAAGTGGACGCGCTCTTTTTCCATAAATTTTGTTCTACAATGCATAAGGGGTGTGTCGAAAGAGCACTTTTTTCCAAAATTTGGCGCCATGTAGATGCGCCAAATTTCAGAAAAGGCTCTTTCGAAAGTAAATCGGAAAAAGATACTTTTTCCAATTTAACTTTGCCATCTAGACATAGCCGAAGATGCAGGTGATCAGAACACCTGAGCCCGCCTGCCGACAAGAGGGAAACCCGAGACTACTGGAGGTTTGCCCAATACTCAGCATGCAACATGAAGCTCTGTCTGTGCTAGCGCTGGGCGCGCTTTGTTTCCAATGCAGTTTGAAAGAGCAGAGTCTCACTTTCTGAACCGTGTCAATGCTGCCAGATGACTGACCCTCCGGGAAGTTCTGACTTCTAACCAAATAACATTTCGACCTGCACCCCAGGGTAGCAGGAGGAACCACTGTAGCAAGATTTAAAGTTACATGACGGTGACGAGGCTTTCATGGCCAGTGGATGGTTCTCACCAGGAAGCGTTTTGTTACTCCATGTGCAAACTGAAAGCAGAGCCAGAACTGGGTTGCACAGTGTGTATACAAGTCTGGATTGGAACATTCTCAATGTTCACAGGGGTTTGCCTCCCGCATGAAGGCTGGGATATAAAAATCAAGCAGTCTGCATTGTACCAAGTTTTCTCCTTGACGTCTCGTTGGTTTACACCATCTGAGATGTCCTGTCTCAGGTGCGATCCATGTTTGAACAGTGGGAATATTGCCTTCTCATCAGTCGATTTTGTGTCGATGAGAAATAGGTGTGAGTAACAAGGAGTGTATTGACCTCACTGCGGTTGGATAACCCAAAAATGCAGGACTCTAGTTAGGTACTGAAAGGTATGTCTACAGTAGCCCCCATAGTTTGAACTAGGGAAGCTAATGTAGGCATTCGAACTTGCAAATGAAGCCCGGGATTTAAATATCCTGGGCTTTATGTGCATGCTCCCATCCGGTCACCATTTTTAAATGCCACTAGTCCGGACTAACTGCCTGCGGCTACACGCGGCAGTTAAACGGTAATTCGAACTAAGTCCTTAGTTCAAATTACCTATTACACCTCATTCCAGGAGGAGTAACAGGTAATTCGAACTGAGGACTTAGTTTGAATTACTGTTTAACTGCCGCGTGTAGCCGGGGGCAGTTAGTCCGGACTAGTGGCATTTAGAAATGGCGACCGGATGGGAACATGCAAATAAAGCTTGGGATATTTAAATCCTGGGCTTCATTTGCAAGTTCGAATGCCTACATTAGCCTCCCTAGTTCGAACTAGGGGGCTAGTGTAGACATACTTTTAGTGAGCTAAGCCATCTGTCTTTTGTATTATACAGACTGTATTTCCAGTGTGAATGTGACAGGAACACACTCATGGGGCACTGCCCATCAGCATCACAGGGTGAAAACAAACCTCGCCCGTTGGTTAGCAAAGGAGTTAAAATGCTCTCCTAGATACAGACCTCACCACAGGTGTCTTCTTCCCTCCCTCCAGGGATTGCCAGATAGCCAGGCCTCTGTAGGAGGGAATTATTCCAGAACTGCTAGGAAGGGATGCTGCCGTGGTGGGTTTCTCTTTGTGTGTCTGTGTTAGACAGGGCTAGGGGGCTGGCAGTGGATCTGATTTAAGTTACTGAGGGTATGTCTACACTACCCCACTAGTTCGAACTAGCGGGGGTAATGTAGTCATCCGCAGTTGCAAATGAAGCCCGGGATTTGAATTTCCCAGGCTTCATTTGCATGAAGCCGGCCGGCACCATTTTTAAATGCCGGCTAGTTCGGACCCCGTGCCGCGTGGCTACACGCAGCACGGACTAGCTAGTTCGGATTAGAAGGAGGAGTACAGCTAGTTCGGATTAGAA